CCATATCCTGGAATGGGGTAACGTAGGAGAAGGAGAAATTTTTGAGCGAACATAGTAAAATACATTTTCAATATGTTGTCTTTTCAGTGTCTGTGGAACATTCAAGTGGAGATGTCTTCTAGGTTTTGGTATTTTAGATATAAAGTCTCAACTAGAAATAAAGATTTGATATTCAACAAGCGAAGTCATTCAAGGCAAGGGAGTGATTGAGATCTATAGAGAAAGGAAGTAGGACTAGAGGAAGGACGTTGAGGACCTGCAGATCTTCAGCATTTATGAGCAAGCAAGGAGCTTTGAAGGAGAATAAGTGACCAAGACGGAGGAAACCAGAAAGTTCTTGTGTCTTGAAAGTGAAGGGCTATGAAGAGTCCGGGAAGGCATTAGCGGTCAACAGGAGCAAGCAAAATAGGCCTGCAAAGTATTCACTGTGTTTTAACAACATCTGATTTGATTCATTCAACATCACGACATAGATAAATCAGGTTTAATTATCATTACCCTACAGATGGGGAAATACTAGACAAAGAGAACTTAACATCTTGTTCATCGTGATTCATTCAGAGCCCATCTTTAGACTTGACTCTTTCCATAATAGCATATTGCCTTCAGATTTAACATAGCCAGCAGAATATAGTTCTTAAAAGAAGAGTTTATGAAATTCTGGAGCACTTTACAGAGAAAGTGTGTAGTTCTTTTCTTAGTAAGGGTCTTTGTAAATTGCAGACAGCCTCTTCAATGCTTGTTCTCTGTTTGTCTAAGATTTTCATTTTTGAAATTTTTTCTTGTCCATGGAGCTGTCTTTATTATGTTTAGAATCATCTCTCTGATCCTATCAAACCACACAATTTGCCCTTGAAGATCATCTTAGTTTTTTCCTGATTAACCCCATCTTTTTTCCAGTCCACTCCACAATCTTCATTAATCTTTCCTCCTTGGGAAGTTGTCGATTTTATAGCATTGTTCAGGCAGTTTTACCTTACGAAATGCCATATGTGTTCCTGAAATGTAATGCTTCAGATAAGAATTTCCTTTTGAAGAGCTTTGAAGAGATACCTGTAACAAAGATAGCCTGGAGGAAGTTCCATAAACTAATTCTGTGGTAAGTTTTGATATAGTTTCTTCATGGTCAAAAATATTTCCATGCTGTTTCCTGCTTGTGCTAGAGCAAGTTATCCATGAACTTGACTTTGGAGAAACCATGGATGAAATGCATTTGAATATAAAGTTTTAATGGTAATAGACTCTGAGGTGATATCAACTCAGAGGAAGTTTTCCTGGTGTTGCATCCTAAGACAAGAAACTTCTAAACCTCCTAGAGAAAAGTCAACTTTTAGTGAATCCTTAAGGTCTTCTTTACCAATAGGTCCCTAAGAGAGTTTATGATAGTTAATTATTTTTCTCCATTTGGAACTTGTGTGTAGTAGGATTCAGATCATGCCTTGGGATTCATTAGAGTTACTGTAGAACACAGCAAAATTCTAAGTGTATATCTACAGATGAAGCACAATTATTGTGGAGTATTTGCTGAAAATGTCTCACAGAGGTGGATAAACAAGCAGACATTTACATGTTACATGCACACACATGTAAACATGATAGATGCAGTTATTGTAGGTGGATTTGACAAGAAGCTGGGTGTCTGCTTCTGTGATTAGATTTCATAAAGTTCTCATGAGAAGCCCTGATCAAAATAGTAGCTTACCCACTTGTTCATGAGGCTTGATTTTCCCAAAATAGAGAATTTCTTCCTTTTGGCTGAAAACATTGTAAATGCCCTGTGAAAGGACTTTGAGTGGAGGTGGCCATTCACCAGCTCAATTAATTCCTGTATAAAGGAGTTGATTGGCTCCCTTCCTGAGATTTGACCTGAAATTAAGGAAAGTTAGAGTAGGTGGTGCTGCTATTTAAAGACCAGAAATGTGTGTGGGCAGTAATCTCATTGTGTGACTTGTGATTTTATTAAAAGTCCAGAAAGGTCTTTTGATCTCTTAGCTTGTCACTATGTGTAAATTTCCTTCATTGGAACCAGTGCTTACTATGAAGATAACTGTGTGAAAACAGGACAATAATGCTTTGTCTGGGAGGAGGGATACATTAGGCAACATTCACCTATTGGTCCATTAGAGTAGCTGATATTAACAGTTCAGCTCTGATCACAGTCTTCCAAAACTGCTCAAATGTCACTTTCACAAAGAGATCTTTGTTTTTTATAGCTCCTATTATCTTCTAAAATATTTTTAGAAGTAACTTACTACATAACTCACATTACATAAGTTATTTATTTCCTCTATTTATTGTCTGTGTTCCCCCTACTAGAGTAAAACTCAGGGAGGGCAAGGGACTTTGTATTGTGTAGCAGTTTATCTGCAGTCTCCATATCAGTGCCAGACATAGTTTCCCAACTATTTGTTCAATGAATCAGTGAATGTCACTGTTATTGGAAGACTTTCAGAGGTTACTAATTTGCTAACAAAGTGCCTTTGTACTTGTACATGAATTCCTTATTTCTTTTCAAGATTTACTCACATAGTTGCACATATCAATAGTGTATTCTTTTTTATTGCTCAGTTGTATCCTGTTGTGTGAATACCATGACTTTTATTTCTCTGTTTTCCTGTTGATCCCTCTTTGAGTCATTTCCCAATAGGGGAAATGTTCTTGGCTGTTAAGAGTAAAATTACTATGAACATTTGTGTGTGAGATGTTTTGTGGACACAGCATTCATTTCTTTGGGTATATGACTAGGAGTGGAATTGCTGGGTCACAGGGAAGGTGTATGTTTCACTTCATTAGATATTGACAGTTTTACATGGTTGTGGTGCTCAGTCATGGTTGGGAAATAGTGGATTTGAAAATTTCCTGAGTGTTTTTCAGGTCTGAAATTCTACAAATGTGTGGGCTTGATATTAAAAATAAGTAAAGATCCAAGAAATTAAGATAAGATAGACAATTTTTGTCAAGGCAGAAGCTGGTGTTGGGGAGTGGAAGACAGGAAAAGCAAAAGCGGCCAAAGAGGAAGAACATGTTTGGGTATGTCTCTGCGCTGGGAATTTGATCTCCAGGGATTCAGTGTGAGAGCAATGAGAAGCTAGAAAGTCAGTAGAGAGTCATGCCTGTAGAAAACTGAGTGGAAGGCAGAGACAGAGGAAGCTTTGACTGGTTAGTACTTTAGAGAAAGGCTGTTATTGACAGAGTTTGAGAGCCGTTATCTGATAGGGAGTCTTTGTTATCATTCAACTTACATTCCATGAGAAGACAGGTGAGGGCAATCAGAGAAGTCCCCTTTCTTGTTTGACCTGAAAGTGTAGTACAATTATTCCCAGAATGAATTGGAATAGAAGTAAAATGTTTAATGTCCTACCCTACCTTATAGTAGATGGCTCTGCATTAATTTTTCCTTGATTCCTTGATTTCCTTGATTTCCTTGATTTCCTTGATTTCCTTGATCACCTGTTTTTATGAAAGTCATTACATGCTTGTTTGTTACTTTCTAAGAGGTTGCCAGACTCCAGAAGGCAAGAACGCTGCTTCATGGATTTCAGTCGCTCTCATCAGGACGAAGTTTAGTGTAGTGATTATGAAAGAGGGGCCTGGAATCAGGCAGGTCTGGGCATTAGGCTCTGACACATCATGTTTCTGTGAGCAATGTACCTTGAATGTGGATATAGTTATTGTGAGGAATAAGGATGTATTTGTATAGTGCATCGGATCTTAGCAGCCAGAAGTCAGGATAAGGGTTCTGTATCAGGTCCATTATGGGACATTCAAGAAGTGGTAATGATAGTTTTTTTTCATGATTATTATTTTTTAAATAGTACTGAATAGATGTTTGCTGAAAGAATTGCTCCGAAAATTCAAATCAAGTAATTTCAAGGGCATAAACAAACATGTCTTCTTCATTTGGGGAAGGACTCTCTGAGGAAATGGTCTTGAGGGAGGCTCTGTCTTAATAATCAGGCCAATGAGATCTGTAATCCTAATAAAACTCTTGATTCTCCTATTATCTACCGGTCAGGAAAAGGCACTGTCTCCTTCCTTGTCGCTGGAGGGGCTTATGGGCCAATTGATAATTGGAAGTCATGTTCTTCAGGGCAAGAAAAGTTAAAGATAAATTAGAGATTTTGATTCTTTGGACTGGGCTGGGAGGAGAGGGTCCTGAGCTCAAGCTATCATCTTCTATTTGCTATGATCATTTTCTTTCCCAGGACAGTTGTGGACAAGAGATATGACAAGAGAGTACAACATTACAGCACTAAGCTAAAGGAAGGTGAGTGTCTGTCTGGCTTCGGTCAGCCAGGTAATATACTGGGCATGAGTGCAAACCATGAAAGTGAGAGTGCCTAATTCACCGGCTGCAACTCAGTAGTTTTGGGATTTGTGCTAGTTACTAAACTCAGGCCTCTCATCTACAGAATGGGGATAATAATATTGTCACACAGTGTCTCACAGTATTTGCTTAAGTAAGTGCTGGCTTAAAAATATCATGAAACCTAAAGCCACTTGAACTAGGAGATCTTAGGAAAATGCAACCACACCTTCTTGATTTGATAGCAGTAACTCAGAGGAGGGAACTCTCAGAAGTCAGTGTCTTCTGTCAATGAGGACTCTCTCTAGTGAAGAGGCCCAAGTTTCAGCAACTGAACAGAGAGGCAAGAGAGAGACACAGAAAATGGACTGACTTAAAAACCTAAGAGACATCTGTCTTATTTTTGAAAGAACTGGAATATGAATACATTATTGCTTTCTAGAAACACCTAGTTCTCACTCTGGAGGCAAAGTTTAGCCTCATTGTTCTTTGGAAGTTGAAGTTATCTGGGCTGTGAAGACAGACCCATAGCAACAGTAAAGAGCTTCCTACCACACTAAAGTTCAAATCTCAGTGGATTCCATTCTCAAGAATGCAGGATGCCTACTGGAGAGGTGTTGTGGTGCTTTTTTCTCTCTAAATGGCTTTCTTTTCTTTTCCCACAGACTTCCCTTCTCCTGCCTGTCCCCAGAGAATGGCAGCTGAGAATTCTTCTGTGACAGAATTTACCCTCGCAGGCTTAACAGACCAGCCTGGACTCCAGATCCCTCTCTTTTTCCTGTTTCTAGGTTTCTACATGGTCACTGTAGTGGGGAACCTGGGCTTGATAACCCTGATTGGGTGGAATGCTCACTTGCACACCCCCATGTACTTTTTCCTCTTCAATCTCTCCTTAATAGATTTCTGTTACTCCACTACCATCACTCCCAAAATGCTGAAGAGTTTTGTCTCAAAGAAGAACACCATCCTGCATTCAGGGTGTATGACTCAGCTCTTTTTCTTCTGCTTCTTTGCCATCTCTGAGTCCTTCATCCTGTCAGCAATGGCGTATGACCGCTACGTCGCCATCTGTAGACCACTGTTGTACACAGTCACCATGTGTCCTCAGATCTGTTTACTCCTTTTGTTGGGTGCCTACGGGATGGGGTTTTTAGGGGCCTTGGTCCAAACAGGCAGCATAGGAAGTCTGACCTTCTGTGCCGATCACCTTGTCAATCACTTCATGTGTGACATCTTTCCTCTCCTTGAGCTCTCCTGCAACAACACTTACGTGCATGAGTTGATGGTCTTCGTAGTTGTGGCCATTGACATTGGAATTCCTATTGCCACCATCTTCGTCTCTTATGCTTTAATCCTCTCTAGCATTCTCCACATTCACTCCTCTGAGGGCCGGTCCAAAGCTTTCAGTACGTGCAGCTCTCACATAATTGTGGTTTCTCTTTTTTTTGGTTCTGGGGCTTTTATGTATCTCAAACCACCTTCTCTTTTACCCCTTGACCAAGGGAAAGTGTCCTCCCTATTCTATACCATTGTGGTGCCCATGTTAAATCCACTGATCTATAGTTTGAGGAACACAGATGTCAAAGTTGCCCTGATGAAAACCTTGGGAAGAAAAATATTTTCTTGAGAGAGGTGTAGTATTTGAGGAAGGAGAAATAATGCTTTGTTTACTAGTGTGTGTGTTTTCCATGAGGGGTCCAAGTTCCAGATTTTTTCCACTCTTGCAATGAGATTTTTAAATCTTATGTTAGTGCAGACCTATTTACCCTGTCCCTTCATCCACCTTGACTAGTCCAAGACTATTATTTGCAATTTTTCTACAGTAATATTACTGATCACTTAATTTTGAATGGGCCTTATAAATCATTTTATCTAATCTTTTCATTTAACAGACAGTGGAGACTTACAAATACTATGTATGTTTTCCAAGGCCACACAACTAACTGGTACTACCACTGGGACTGGAAGTAGGCTCTTGATTCCGTCTACTTTGTTTCCCTTTGTGCCATGATTTTGCTTCATCGCTGCCCTTGAAGATTTCATTTTGAAAATACGCTACCTCAGCATATCAAAATCTGATTCTACTTCTAATAATTTAATGTAACTTCTTAATAAACAATTTTTGAAAATTACATTCTTTTTTTCCTAAAAGGGTAGAAGGCAAACAATTTACAGAAGTTGGTTTTGGGCAAGTGACAAGAAAGGTGTTAACACATCTTAATACACCAAGTGTTAAGATTGTGGTGTGTGAGTGGCAAGTAGGTAGGTTCCTGACAGCAGGTAAAACATGGTAATTCCCGAGGTTATGTGTGGAACTCTTTAAACCCAGCCTAGTGAACTAGGGCTTCTGTATGCTTAAGGTCCATAACGATGCTGAGTGGGAAGTTTTGTACCTTATTTCAAGACTAAGAGAGCCAGACATTTATAGCTTTTTTCTAAAGATTCGTTTGGGTGTTTTAGCTGTGGTGGAGAAATCTGTTGCTGTGGATGAGCAACTAAGG